GCAGGAATGGTAGGGAGCTACATGGTGCCTTGGTTGGAAGCGTGCATATCTTAAAACAGTTCTCTGTGTCTGTGAATCGAGGCCCTTCCCAAGTTCTTGCCAGAACGAGGCCAGGCCAAGCAGCCCGACTCCAAGTCGGGCAAGTCAAGTGTCTCTGTTCATTTCCCCGCGGAGGTAGAGGAGAGGCTCCAGGCGGGCGCTGATAAGGCCCAAGCATGAGATTAACTAATTGCCGCACTGAATTTGATCATCACCCTCTATCCAGATGAGCTTTCATTGAAACTTCTGGGCTTTCAGCCCAGTCATTAGGCAAGAAGAGGTGTGAGCCATGCGCAGCACAGCCTGGCAACCCTCTATGCTCAAGCCCCCTCCCGTGATGGGGACTCAGGGCCACACTTTTCCTCCTTCAGGGGATGCTGCCAAAGCAACCTGGGGGATGTGGTTTAAATGCAGAGGCCCGGGGCAGGGCCTGGGGATTTGCATTTCTAACAAATTCTCGGGAAACGCTGATGCTCCCATGCAGGGACCTCACTTTGAGTCCAGCCGTCATCTCATTAGCCCCATAGCACAGATGGGAAACGGGCTTAGAGGAACCAAAGGGCTTGCCCGGCACCATGCAGGCAGAAGCACCAGGCCTGATCTTTTGCCTCAGCTCTTTTCCCTACGTGCCCGGCATGGGGGACAGCAGGGCCTTGGCCCCTGCCCTTAGGGCACTCACAGCCTGGAAGGACCAGAGCAGCTGAGGCTAACGGGAGACTCTCCCGCTGGTCTCGGCGCCCAGGTGCAGAGCTTCCTGCGGGGCTGGCTGTGCCGGCGCAAGTGGAAGACGATCATCCAGGACTACATCCGGTCGCCGCACGCCGACAGCATGCGGAAGAGGAACCAGGTGGTGTTCAGCATGCTGGAGGCCGAGGCCGAGTACGTGCAGCAGCTGCACATCCTTGTCAACAACTTCCTGCGCCCACTGCGGATGGCCGCCAGCTCCAAGAAGCCTCCCATCACGCACGACGATGTCAGCAGCATCTTCCTGAACAGGTGAGCACCCTGAAGCTCAGCCCCCACTCCTGGAGCCCTTGGCTGAGGCAGGAAGAGGGAGCCTAGCCGGCACTGAACTTGGACACGAGCCCTTGACTAGTTCCCGCCAAGTGCAGAGGAGGAAACTGAGGCCCAGAGAGGAAGGAAGCTGCCCGAGGTCCCATGACGAGAAGCCAGTGCCCCAGCTATTGCAGGCAGGAATACCAATAGATGCCCACGTAGTATATGTAGAAACTAGTGGTTCAACTGGGGCAATGCTGGGAGACATTTATTTTTTTTTTAATTTATTTTTTGCTTCAGAAGGATCAAGTAGGATCAATGGCTGGCAATCCCTGGGAGGCAATTTTTTTTTAATTTAATTTAATTTATTTTTTTATACAGCAGGTTTATATTAGTTATCCATTTTATACATATTAGTGTATATACGGGAGACATTTTTGATTGTCAAAACTTGGCGGGGCTTCAGGGGAGGGTTTGCACCTGGCATCTGGTGGGTAGAAGTCAGGGATGCTGCTAAACATCCTACCGTGCACAGAGCAGTCTCCCACAGCAGAGAATTCTTCCACCAAAAATAATCGTGCCAAGGTTGAGAAACCCTGGTTTAAATGTTTACAAGTTATAAATCAAGCTACAGAAAACCAAATGGGTTCCATTCTTCTAACTTAATATCGTCGTCATAACGATCTAGAAGCCAGGTCTAAATTTTTAGAATTCTGAGTCCCCTTAGAGTTGGGCTCTGAATCACACTACCCACATATCTTACGAAAGCAGTTACTTTTCCCAAATGGTGACTCTGGCCATTCGTATGGGGTTTGTGTTACCTGAGAAGGCTGAGCTGATGGCTGCCCTTCTGCTGTCAACCTCTTTTTAAAAGTCTTAGGAAAGGGTTTAAATGAGCTTTTTGGTAGGCATTAAAATTGGGTAAACTAGGTAAAAGCAACAAATATGAAAACATATCTACAGAGTGCTATTTACAAACGATTCTCAATCAGGAATTAAAGTAAATCACTACATGCTCCAGGTTGTTCGTTCAGCTGCATTTCTTCGAAAGTATCCATCATTCAGTCATTTCACTAATTGCAGCTGGCCCTCCTCCAAGCCCTCTGCAGAGGTGTTTGGGACCCAGGGTCACCTCCCCTGTGCCCTGCTCTTCCCCTTTACCTGCCAGTGTGCTGTGACGAGCTTAGGGACCTGTGGGACACCCGGAAGGAGGTGGGGTAGAGGCAGTGGATGTGGGTCTGATTCTGAGAGGTTGAGCCGGAGATGCTGAAAGTCACTGGGAGAAGGGCAAGGACAGGGACATTGGGATGCTGACACCATGGATGTGGATGAGGTGTCAGAGTATGGGGACATGGTGGGGGTGGGGAGCAGGGGGAGGGGAGTGGCTTTTAGCCTCATTAGACCTTCTAGAAACTGAATCACTGGGCCTTACAAGGTTGCTTTTTTTTTTTTTTTTTTTTTTTTT